CCAGGGAACACAGACATTCCAAGCAAAGGGGGGAACCAAAAGCCGAAGTAGACAGAAAATGGGATAATTTCATAATTTATAGAAGGGAAGCATCCTGTTTAATCAGTGAGAAAATGAGAACAAGGGGGTCCCAATGGTTGTCAAAAGTGCACAAAAAGGATAAAAAGGCAGCCAAGAAATTTTGGAAACATCTGAACTCCATGAGTAATAAGACAAGTTTAGAACAGAGGTTTATAGTTACAGCTCAAGGTACTCGACTGGAAGGGGATAAGGCAATGCAGCATATAGGGACAATGATGGCGGAAAAATTTAAAGACCGAAGGAATGAGGCACATGCTTTATCGCAGGAGAACAGACCGGTAAGTGCTATGGATTCGTTCGGACAAAGAGAATGGGAAAGGGCAGAGAAAAGAGTTCCTAGTAGCACCTCGACAGGCCCTGACGGTATTCCCATTATGTTAATCAAGAACTTGGGCCCAAAATCTAAGCAAGCATTAAGAGAGGCAGTGAATAAAATGGTAACGGATGGGAAAGCCCCCGATGAATGGAGACTAAGCAGGATGAGCATGATATATAAACGAAAGGGGGACAAAGCGGACATAAACAACTATCGTCCTATAACAGTGACGTCAGTGATTTACAGGGTGGTGATGCAGATTATAAAGGATAGACTGCAGGCATGGGTGGAGAGCGAGGGGGTGCTGGGGGAGCTGCAGAATGCGTTCCGGAAGCAAAGGAGGTTAGAGGACAATCTGTTCTCTTTAACGCAGTGTATCGAAATAGCAGAAAAGGAACAAAGGCCCCTATGGCTAGCGTTTCTGGATATCAAAGGAGCCTACGACAGTGTAATTCAAGAGAATTTGTGGGGCATACTGGGTACATTAGGGGTAGAAGCTGGAGTAACTAATCTTTTAAAAGATATATATAATAGCAACAAGGTGCTTATAAAATGGGAAACAAATGTATCGGAGCCTATAGAGATAGAGCGGGGGCTTAGGCAAGGCTGCCCTTTGTCGCCTTTGTTGTTCATGTTATACTTACAGGGATTGGAGAACAAACTAGAGCGGAGCGGGTTTGGCTTCAACCTTTCTTTCATCAAGCAAGGTGAATGGATTAAACAATCACTACCGGGGCTGATGTATGCAGATGATATAGTGCTAATGGCCGACAACAAAGAAGATTTGCAGAAATTAATGGATATCTGTGGTACAGAGGGAGATAAACTAGGTCTTAAATTTAGTCAAGAAAAATCGGCAGTGATGATTTTTAATGATAAAGATGGTGGCGAGCATAGGATACAAGAGGTCATGTTGGAGGTAGTGGATAAGTACAGGTATCTTGGGGTATGGATAAATAATGGTGTTGAGTATCTAACGGAGCATGAAAAACATGTAGCGATGAAAGGTAGCAGGAATGCAGCCGTCATGAAACATAGGGCTCTGTGGAATTACAGTAGGTATGAAGTGGTGAGGGGGATTTGGAAAGGGGTCATGGTTCCCGGCCTGACCTTCGGCAATGCGGTCCTGTGCATGAGACCAGATATTCAAGCAAAGTTAGAAATTAAACAGCGGGGCGTAGGTAGGCTTGCTTTGGGAGCTCATGGAAATACGCCGAATCAGGGCGTACAAGGCGACATGGGATGGACGTCATTCGAGGGCAGGGAAGCTAGCAGCAAGATAGAATTTGAGGAGCGTTTGAGGGAAATGGAGGAAGAGCAGTGGGCTAGGAAAGTTTTCAGTTATTTGTACATGAGGAATGTAGATACCAAATGGAGAAAGCGAACTAGAAAATTATCAAGCAAATATTTGGGCGGCAGTGGGGGCGCCAACCAGGAATTACGGGTTAAGAAAAGGATAAAAGAAACAGAGAAGGGTCTGTGGGAAACGGGTATGCAGACAAAACCAGCACTGGAGACGTACAGAATGTTCAAACAGGAAATTTGCAAAGAAAATATCTACGATAATTCTAGGGGAAGCTCTTTGTTGTTTGAGGCCAGGACAGGAGTATTGCGGACTAAGACGTACCGGGTTAAGTACCAGGAGATGGACACTTTATGTAGTGTGTGTGGGGAGCAGGAGGAAACGGCTGAACACTTAATACTTTTCTGTAAAGGGCTTCACCCAACAGTTAACAGTGACCGGGCGGATTTAATCAAAGCATTGGGTTTTAAAGACAGTGAAGGAAAAATAGACTTTACACGGGTAGAAATAACCAAGCGGAGGTTATCAGACTGGCGGCTAAAATCGAGGCAGGGGTGAGATTTAATCTTGGAATTCAAAACATATAATTAGATTAATAATGTTGGCTAGGTGGCGCAAGCCACCGCCCGATTCACAGGGTTTAGCCAGATCCATCCATCCATCCATCGAATTAGATGCGCACGGTTCCTATTCGCGACTCCAGCAAAACGGACGCCGCCAAGCGGGAAAACCGGGAACCAGCCGGTCCAGGTCGCTCCGCGCCCCTCCGCGTCTCTGGTGGCTTTCGCGGAGACGTGTTGTCGGCGCGGTGGCGAACAATGTGATTTGACGAAGGTCCGAATATTTCTTAAGTTTTCCTGAGTGATCATTAGTGTGGTGAAGCCTCAGTAAATTGTTTTCTTCTATTACGTGTTTGAAAGCCCGTTTACTTCACAGCACACGGTCGCGTGCTTTCGATTTCTTGGATGGGGAGGAATCACGGAAAAACTTTTTGATTTCTTGTCTGTCTCGAATCACATTCAAAGTGACGACTGCTTGGTAACTGATACTGGAGGGAACATCCATGTTGCAGTCAAGAGAATGGGAAGGTTCGATAGCTGCTTTTCTTGAGTTTGGTTGTGTTCGGTTAGCTTCAAGTTTGAGCCACCCACGCCGGTCGGTGCGTTGGCTATTCATCTTGGCTGCTTTTCGCCGAAAAAGCCTCTGGACCACACTGAAGGAGCTGGGCTGATTTCGCAATTACTTGATTCAGGAAAACTTGCTCGCTGCAAATGATGAATGAGGGAAATTATCTGTTTTCAAAAGGTGGGAGACAAGTCTCGCAACGTTAGATGCTGCCACGGCATTTTGACCTATCGCGCTTCCAATATTTATATTACCAGGACGTCGAAGCCAGCAGTAATATACGTCTACATTGATCAGGTTGACCGGCCACAAAAAATACTAATTTTCTCCGTTCAGGATTCGAAGCAAAGTTCAATGCAGAGAGGTTCTGCGGGGATCTTCAATGAAGACTCTCTTCAGTTTGTCTCCGTGCTGCCGGCTATAGAACCATTTGGCTAAGTTTAAGTAGTATGTCTCCGTCTGTCAAATATACTTTTATTCAGCAGCTCACCTAATAGCTAGTCAACTAAGCTCATATTTCAACCCGAAGGATATACTAATATCGCTTTAGTGGGACCATAGTACGTAATATAATACATAACCCGCTCGTCAAAATGACTTCTCGATTGCTACTAAAACCTGAATTGAAATACGAGTATCAGCTGCTTAGTGGGGCGCCGGCGGGTTAACATGGTCCTTGGCTCAAAAAGCGGTTGCTTAATTTTCGTAATTTTCCTGCAGCCTGTGTTGCTGGCCGAGCAGACGACTGGGGCTGTTTCGTAAACGTGGATACGCACAAAAGCTCGATTCCGCGGACAGATAAGTCGCATGGTCGACCATGCGAGTTAGCTGAAAAGTTACTATCTGTGGAACAATTCTATAGTCATCGCCGCTTTCCTTAGATGATCAAAACTGATTAGTATATTACCGTCTCTCCGGAGCCCATAGTTTCGGTTTTGAACGAAATCTCCGAAACGAAAGTTTGACACGAAAAGAACAAAAAAACACCAGCAAAACAAAACGATGCTTTGCAAGTTTATCTGCACCGGCTACACTTCACCGTCTCAGTTCAAATACCTATAAAATTGGGCATTAAACAAAAGAAAATCTGTTAAATTGAACGCGCCACCCATTCAGGCGGCCCGGCCGAGCCGCCGCGACCTGGACTCAGCCGCCATGTTTGTTTGGTGGTGGCGCCCCCTATAGGTCGCTGGAGTCGCGAATATCGCAGTAGCTATGTAAAGCAACTTTCATGCGTCAACTCGTCGCTAAAGGCATGGAGAATAGAAGGGTAGGAGAGGGCATGACGTCGGCCGCGTAGCCTCCACAAGCCATGCTCCCTTGACGCCTCGCCTCTTTCTCATTTTCCTCCTTACTCTCCTCTCTTACCATGCCAACGTGACCACATCACGTGACCGTAGCTAGGGTTCGTCTTGCTGTGGGGTACTAGAATACACCACAGTCTAGACTTCGACCTGATAAAACCTACCGGACGGAGCGCGCGCAAGTCCTTCTACAATCAACCATCCATCTCACACGTGACATGTCACACGCACCAATCGCCAGAGAGATCTGCGGTCACGCTGGGCACAAAATCGTTTAAACTTTTTATGACTAGGCTTCACCAATATTGCAACGTGCCCCCTCCCAGTACTTCTAACCTCCTTGGCTAAAGGGTTGCCAGCGGCCCAGGTTTTAAGGGGGAGTTTTCTAACGGAGGGTTTTAGTAACGTTGTCTGCGCACAAACTCTGGCATGTCAAAAAGCCTTCCGCAACCCCCCCCCCCCGAAAAAAACAAAACAAAACAAAACAAGAAAACAAAAACAAAAACAGCATTTACAACAAGAACAACAAAACGTCCTTTAACATTTTATATGTATTGGTAGTAAAAAAACAACAGTGCAATAAATTTAAGGAAGGTCACGTATTCGAAAATGTAAACCCTGCATTCAAGTGAGATTGGACAATCGAAACTCTTGCACATGGGTTTCCAACGTTTCCAATATCTTTTTCCTGCACTGCGCCGCTCGTATCGCTTTTATTTTGCAAAACCTCTTTAAACATTTATGCTACGATGCCAATATGTCCCTACGGTTGTTCATATTAAAACTTAGTTTTATAGCAGAACTAGGTCGAACATGGCCGTATTTGGCGAGCTATGCTACGGGTCATGCGTCCAGTTACGAACACTGGAAACCATCACGTGATTGCGAATTTGTATTTTCCTCTGGCTGTTTCGTGAGTTGTCTTTCTCGGTTCCCTGATGTTTGTCATTAAAACGCAGTGACATTCGGACGCGCAAAATTCCGTTCAAATGCTGGTTTCTTGGAGTTCATGAAACCGCTATCAAGAAGGAATGGTCAGCTTAGCGGATCATGAGACGTTTGAGGTGAGTCTACGCTTTTAAGTTGACGCTGCTACCGATGTTTATTTCATGTTGACACTCCGAAACTTAACCTTTATGTTTCCACGAATAAAATAACAGCCACAAGAGAAGCTCTTTCTAAAAGGCGCTCTGCTAAATAATAATAATAAAAAGAAAAAAAAAAAAAAACATTACAGTGTTTTAGAAGAGCTATATTCTGCCGACAACGTGTATCTTTTTTGATCGACGAATAAACATCCCGTGATTACTCGGCGGTGGGAGTGAGCTGCACGATGTCACCCCTTCTCGTGTTTATGTAAAAAACCTTGCGGTGTTAAAGGAGAATTAAATATATGACAAAACCAGGACGACACGAAAGGTATGTCGTCCTGTATGTAATTCTCCTCTTAGCTCCGTAACTTTACTAACACGCTCCCTTCCACCAAAACATAACAAAAAAACATCTTCGACTCCAGGTAGGCATTGAACGCTGCGTTCAATGCTTGCCTGGAGGCGAATAAAGATTTGTTCGCATGACGCTTGCTAGAATGAGAAACTTAAACTGTACTATTAGGTGTTGTCACATTTAAGTTGACTGTACTTGGCAAAAAATTGCTTTTCCATTTGGGTGTGCTGCCACTAGGAAGTGTTCTGAGAGCTATCAAACTTTATCTTCGGCATATATTTACCTCGTAACAAATTATATACTTCGACGCATCACAGTCTGTGATACCCGTCATGGATAATCCCGGTAAAAATCTAGTACATTAGTGTCAATTTCTTCTAACAGTATGCCTGGTGTGTCCTTGCTGCCATCAACATTGTTGCACTTGACAGGTAATGAGTAATTATGGCCAGCATCGTCACTCTTAGGAGCTGACACCACTTGCAGACATCGGACGTCACTCTTTGCCACCTTACTGCACCTCGCAGAGGCTATGGTTGCATGCAGCGTGTGTTATCAAGATTTTCAGATTGTGTCTTGTCTTGGTTGTGTACAGTTGTGCAATAGACTACTTCCATAAAGCCCTGCATGCAACACGGCGCGCGTTGCACTCTGGGAACTAGTTGGCCAGGGGGGAGGGTGGCTTGGTTTCGGTTTCGATTGACACGTCGACAAGAGATTGTTTTCTGGTCCCGAGAGCGTCATTTGTGGTCTCTAAACTAGCCTAAATGGCCAGACCTCGAAGCTTTAGCACAAGCTCGAGATGTATAGCTTGTCTTAACACATGCTTGTTGTATTTTTGTACTTGAGCCTTCCTGTTAGCGCTCCAATCGAGGTATGTGGACGAGCCAGTGCTGGGAGTCTCGACGCTGCGAAGCTCGGGTGCTCGGGGATCTTGCTTGTGTACGAATCAACAAGCTGTAGCAAACAATAAGTATGCATATATCGAGCTCGCGCCTTTACATTAGTGTTGTTGATCAGGAAGTTTGTTTGCTTCGTGCGTCCATAGACGAAATATTTCTTTTTGCAATTACTGTTTTTCTTAATGTGCCTGATTATGCGAGGTAAAACTCGGAGGTGCCATTGAAAAGCTCAATTTTAACACACTTCTTATCTCTTATCTGTACTGACACGCAGCACTGCACGAAGTGAAGTCCCCACCCGCTTGCATTTCACTAATATTCAACATCGCGTATGCGCATAAAGTTATCCTGCAATCATATAGGCACATTCGCGCATACAGACCGTTTTAAGAATGCAAAAGTCGAGCACTTGTGTGAAGAATGTCGCACCGTTCGCCGGAAGTGCGTCAGAGGGGCATGAACCCCTATGCGCACCTCAGTCGAAACCGAAACTGAGTGGCCAACTAGTTCCCAGAGTGCACTGCGTGGTATTTCGCCGCGATGGGGCGCGTCGGTTTTGGAAGAAGTCCATTCCTCGATAGAGTATTTTATGAGAATGCGGAGAGAAAGTTGTCTGTTTCTTTTGCTGGAGTTGCGGTGCGGTGACACCAGGAAGGCACCGAGCTCTGATTGGATTTGATTGAAAGGATAGTGGGTAGATCTCAATGCTAGATGCCGTGAGGTATACCCACAATTTTCTTCAATCAGCCAATAAGAGCTCTGCGTTCTGACATCATCACAACCCCTGTGCAAGAAGCAGGCAAACTTGTGCTTGGCATAGGCCTGTTACCTGAAGCTATGATGCAGGCTGTGCTGTCACGGAGCGTTAGAAAGAAATTGCATCTACTTTCTAGAACATCCTTGTGGTTTTTAGCGTGCATTGTCTCCTGCGTGAAATGGTGTACAGACTTTCTTTTTGGCCCATGCAGCAATTCAGAAGCCTGTGGACATTTTCAAGCGACTGACTGTAGAACTGACTTGCTTGTTGTATTTTTGCAGGCATCCACAGCTGACAGTGTGAACTTCCTTATACGAGATGCCACACCGTTGATTAACCCCTTAGGCTCACCAGACCTAGAGCCGCCCTTTAAAAGTGTTGCAACAGCGGGGGTTATTATTTTCCAGATCTTAAGCCTCGTAAGTTGCTTGTTTCTCATTCTTTATGTTCCTAGGTTTCTTTTGTAGCAGCATTCTTAGGTATATCAATTGACAAGCTCCAGAAAAGTGTTGTTCCAAAAAAAAAAAAAAATTCCCTGTTGCCCGCATGCCAGCAGGTACAGCCGGATAGCGTTCCAGCACTGCCAGCGGCACTTCCCCGTTGTGACTAGGGATGTCGCGAACCACCCTAGGTTCGATTTCGAAAGGTTTCGATATTTGCGAAGCGAACTGAGGTTCGATTTCGAAAAATTTCGATATTTTCGTACCGACCGAGGTTCGATTTCGAAAAATTCGCAACTTTTGTCCACAGCGGAGTTTCGAATTCGAAAAGTTCGAAGCTTTCACGGTTTCTAAAATTTCGAATTCGAATATTTCGAATATTTTTTTACTTCAGGTTCGATAAATTCGAAGATTTCGAAATTCTTTGTAAAAAAAATTCGAAAACTTCGAACGCTTCGAATTTTTATAGACATGAAGTTCGAACAATTCGAAGATTTCGAATTTCTTTTTGCATAAAGTTCGAAAAGTTCGAAGGTTTCGATTTTCTTTTAACGCTAAATTCAAAAAAAAAAAAAAAAAAAACTTCGAAGATTTTGAATTTCTTTTTAATCGAAGTTTTCAAAGTTCGAAATCCGATTTTCAAGTTTTTCCGCCACAGTTTCAGTTTCAAATAACGTTTTCACGACTCACTGGTTTTCACAAAATCAAGTTTAGAAAAGTTAGGGTGTGATATCTAGATTCTGCGAAGTTGGTCAGGCAATTAAATGAGACGACGAATGTCCCGGACGTGCTAGAATATTTGCCAGTGCAGAATTGTGACCGCCAGCCCCCGGGGGGGGGGGCCTTTAACCTGAATCACGCAGTAGTGATTGCACGAACACACTGTTTTACGAGACTCTTCCAGTTCGAAACGGCCAGGGGCGAGCAGGAGGTTGAGGCTCAGAAAAACCGTGAAGCGACCTGGCAAACTAGCTCGCCACCCCTTGCACGCTGGTAGTAATCCGAGCCGGTGAAGTTTATAATTGTCCTGGAGGTTTATTTTCTGGGACGGAGGAATCGCCTCGCAAAAAGCGCAAAAGCCGACACAACTCGAGGTCGAGGAGCGTTCTACCATACAAGTGGCGTCGGAACAGGAAAAACGGGGGGAAAGAGGGCAGCGGGGGGGGGGGGGGGGGGGGGGGGGGGGGTTCAGCCTTTTTCTTTCCCTTGCAGGTATTTCGGACTGTTAAAGAAAACAATACGGGGAAAGAGGGCGTGGTCGAGCTTATTTTAATCTGAAATTATTTATGCATATGTATAGCTAATGTCGCTCTTCACTGCATAAAAGGTTGCGTAGATGGTCATTGTTAGAAACTCGTTGTCAGAAGGCACTGCTCGTCACATGCTTAGTGGTTCGGAAGTTCAAAGCTGTCTTTTCGACCTAAACACCTGTGCCGATAGTAACAAAAGAAAAAAAAAAAAAAAAGAATAAATGCGGGAATAAAAAGCAGGAGAAAAAAAAAACTATAAAGAATTCGTCGGAAGTGTTCTATTCTTGCATATTCAGAGGTTCAGAACTTCGAAACAAGTTTCTTTTACCAAAATGTGTACAGGCTAAAAGAAACACGTCCCAGGAACGTGAAGCGAAAAAAAAAGAAGTTTTCTTTTAATGACGTGCTGAACTTGAACACTACTAGAAATCTTCTCCCATGAGTTAATTTATTCCTTAACGTGAAAAAACAATAAATATATTATTTTGTATTCTGCAGATGGCAATGATATGTACTGTCTGTGGTGTTAATTTAAATGCGATACCTCAAACAACTTAGACGAAAATAAATATCAAGTTTAGGTCATAATTGCATGCAGATACATGTTTGGACATCTCTTCGAAACTCACGTTGAATAACAATAATCACATCTTAAGACGGCACTTACCTAGGCTATACATAGATCATTCTTAAAAAAAGTATAACTTATCTACCATGAATAGCTCCGGCTGCAGCGTGCTTCAAATCTGGCACGAACGATAATCGTCAAAAACCCGTCGTCCTTCCTCGCCCCTTTGGGGATTTATTTCTTTAAACCTAAGCATGCCAGAACATTGAAATAAACGACATTGTCTTTCGTAAGGAACGCAGCACCGCGTGTAAAAGATCGAGAAAAAAAAAATTACGAATGTACCCCACTACTTGAAATCAAATGAAAAAGTCCACCGGTCTTTCGAAATTCGACGGACGTCGAACTTTTACCCTAGAAGTTCGAAGTTCGTCGAAATTTTGACTTTTCAGAATTCGAAAGTTCGAAACTTTTCGAATTCTCTTGATAAATAAGTTCGAAAGTTCGAAATTCATCGAATTTTTTGGTCAGTCAAGTTCGAAAGTTCGACAAGCATCGAACCTTGCAGCGCAATAAATTCGAAAGTTCGAAAAAGATCGAATTTGTTAGCGTAATAAGTTCGACGGTTCGAAAAGCGTCGAACTTCTTAGCTTAACAAGTTCGGAAATTCGACCTCCGTCGAATTTTACGATATAGACAATTCGAAAAATCGAAATCTTTCGAACCTTTCGAACCGCTTGATTCGATCATCGAAACTTCGATTCGAAAAAAGTTCGCGGCATCCCTAGTTGTGACAGAGAAAGACCGTTTTGAAATGACATTCATTTTGCTCAGACTTTATGTTTATCTTAAAAACTGCAATAGAATCACTTTCCACTGCAGGCAATCTGCATCCAGCATTCCACCGGTTCTGTCGTTTCAGTCCATATGGGACATTGTTTCATACATGCCTCATTGGCTTTACTTAAATATCCTATACGGCAAACAAGTTTGTCTCGCAGTGGGTGCAGTGACGTCAGGGTGCTGAGCTCTGAGTGGAGGATATAGAAGGTATTGAAACACGACATTGTGCTAGTCATAGCAATGGCCTTTTCTGCGATGAACGAAAATTCCTTGGTTCTTTACGAATGAGGGCTGGATAGTTGGTGGAGTATGTTGTCTTGTCAAGTACAAGAACCAGACACACTACAGTGAGCTCGTGGCCAAGATGTTGTTTTCTACCCACCTCGGAGAATACCGTCTGCAGAGGCGTAGGTGGTTACTCCCGCCTTTTTTCACCTCTCGCGCTCAAAGATAGATGTTTTAGTTGGCTTGTGTGTTCTATCAGGTTAAAGAGCAGTATAAATGGCAAATACGCATTGTCTTAATACTAAATCAAGATAGAAAATGAGGCATTTTTTCTTATGAAAGGAAGAAATCATTTTGCTTTAGTGGCAAGGCCCTATATTGTTAATCACTACTTTGCGAATTCTCAGTCATCCATGACCTAATACTCAAATTTAATGTGTGAGCCGTATAACTCCCTTTCAATTGCAAGTTCTTACTTGCTCTTGTCAGCTCTTGAATGTTGTTCTCCTTGATTAACATTATGAAGTCAAAGGTAATGTTTGCTTGAGTGGCTGCCACCTTAATGTGACTTCGCTGATCGCATTCACATTCATGACTCTGCACATAATACCAGAGAAAACAAGGCTGTCCCTCCACCTATTTTCATCCTTTAATGAATACCATTTTTGTTTGATGCCTCGAAAAGCTTGTCAGAAAACTTAACAGCAAGTCCTCTTTCTATATTCAAAATAATTTTTAAACAAGTGTCTGTCGAAATCTCTATAGATGTGAGCCCTCGGCACACCTGGTATATCCTATTTGTGGAACTGCCTTGACATTGTTGCCTCGAATAAAATCTGTTCACCCTAAGCTAATGGTAGTGGCATTAAATTTTTTAATGGTAGATACTATTTCTAAGTCTAACGTCACTCAAGCGGTAATCAAACAGCACATTGTTAGAGAGCTCTACAGGTGTTATACTGTCACGTTTATTTGTCATTCATAATTCCTGGTGTAACAAAAGCTGAAGATACTCATGAGCTAACTCTTGACAACAGATTTTTCGTATAAAAGTGGCTTAGATCCGACAGATCGGTGTGTTCACACATTCGACCTTGCTCACAGCATATGCTACCTTGGAAGAACTTCTACAACATACCGTAGAATACCACGCATCCGTTTATTCCACATTAAGTGCCCATTACCAAATTTGTAAGATCTGAGAAAATATGCACAGTACATTTATATGTAAAATTGATGACCGGACAAGTGCGCATCCCTTATTTTTTTGTGATTATCTCCAAAGCTTGAGTAGGCGCTCGCACGGTATTTTACGGTATATTTGCTAGGTTTTCTGCCTTTGCTGCACACAGATAATTGGTGACTGACTAAACTAGAATAAAAATCGGTAGGGGCTTGGATTGGGACAGATGAGCATCTCGAACTGCAAATAAAGTGCTGTGGACATCTGGCACAAAAATGTGTACATCTCGGTTGCCTGCTCTTTTTTTAACTTTTTGCCAAGGGAGGTTTTGAATTAACATGCCTCGCTTCTCAACTTACAAGATTGAAAGAAATCTATATGGCAGACTACCTATCATTGCATTACTAAATTCTTAAATTCTATGATTTATACAAGAAACCATTGATTTTTGGGCTCCCCCTGGGATAAGTTTTACCAGAACTTCCTTTTTTTTTTCTTTACAGTCAGATTAAGTTTTGGACGCTAACACAGGAGCAGACTGAGGCACTTCATTTTTCAGTCTTCGCCTCAATTGTATCTTTATTCCTAGCGTTTTCAACTTTGATAGTTTAAACAGTAGCCTTTGTCGCAGGTCAGCTGTAGCAGCAAAGGTCCCAGTTTAAAAGTGCTATCCTCATTTGTTATTTCAGCTGTCCATCGTTGCACTGTCCTTCATTTTGCCTGCCATACTTGGGGATGATGGCCGCAGTCCGCACGACGCCTACACCATCTTGCAATACCTTCATGCCTGCCTCTGGGCCATCATGCTTCTAGTCGACTGCTACCTGAGAAAGCAGCACAACATCTTGACCTGCAATGGTTACATCCACTTCTACCAAGTCACCAAGAGGCTGAGGAGAGTCAACGTCTACGTCTTTTCTGCTGGTAAGTTCAGTGCTGGCGAGATTACGGGGGTTTTGCGAAATGCGGGCCAGATCATTCCTGCAAGAAGTACGCATCGAACATTGAAAAAAAAAAAAGGGGAAAAACAAAATCTTTTTTAGATGGGCAAGAGGGCCAATTAGAAAAAGGTTATAGCATTTGGCATAATTGGGTTATTAATTACTTTTCAGTATTCAAAAGTTAATTACTAAATTGAAAGATATAGTGTTAATAGTGTTAATTAGAAATTTGCTATACATCATCATAGAAAGCTAATAAATTCACCCACATTGTAAAGATCTAAGACATGCGCAGCGTTTTACAGTGCTCCTAAAGATGGCTTAATTTGGATGTGTTTCGAAGATTAGGTTTCCCATCAAAATGCATCTCCGCCCCAGCAGTCGTGCTGCCCCGTGGTCAAGGTATGCATCTAATGTGCTCTGCCACGGATTGTTCACACAACAGAAATGAACCCTAGAATCAAAGCTTATTCTTGCAATGTCATTCGAAGAGCACATTGTTTCATTTCGCCGGTTTGTTGCACCCTTTCTTTTCTCGTAGTACGAGACGGGTGATGCTGTGGTTCAGCACTTTGTCCAAGGGGGGCGAAATCACTGGCAAAGAGGTGTATTCCGAATAGAAGCCGAAACCTGGAAATGCGTCCAAATTGAGTGTGTAGGAATGGCGTAAAATGTGTGAGCCCTTTTTTTTTTTTAAAGTGCACTGATTCTGAGTTTTTCTATGATGCTCAAAAATTGTCCAATTAAAACCATTCATTTAAATTTGGTAATTACAAATTTAGTTACCAAAAAGTAATTTATAACCTAATTATACCCAATGCTATTCATTTTCTTAAATGGGCCCTTTGGCAGGGGTCAGTGTGACATGAACTTTTTTGTGTGCGATAGATACTTTTCGAAGGAATAATTTGACCCATGTTGTGAACCACCCTGTAAACGGTATTCTGGTGACATCCAGTCGCTATGACAGGGGCTGAAAGTAACTTGCGACTTGGGTTTTGTTTGCATGCCTTTAAGAAGTAACCCTGTGCAAAGTTTAGTCCATTCCATTATTCTCTTCATCTTTTGTTGCATTCTGTGCGCCCACCCAAGGCGAAGATGTCACGGTGTTGCTCAGTTGACTGCTCAGCAACGTTTTTGTGGACGCCCTGCAAAATGAGAGAGGCCATCGTGTTTGGTCAGTTGCCGTCGGGCATGCATTGGTTCCATGCTCAACAACAATACAAATATCTGCCGCACATATTTCATGATAGTGTGTTCTGAGATTTAAATGTTTTATTTTTTTCTTACTGCACATATAATAATAATAATAATAATAATCTTTATTTTGGGGATATAAATCGAATAAGAGCACGCTCTCAGAAAAATGAGGATTGCCGAAGCAAGCCTAGGTGGCTTCACACTGGTGATAAACAGCTGAATTCTCTGCCATCGCAGAACTCAATGACTACTGAACTATTACAAAGATTTGACCCCGCAGGGGGCACCTGTGAAAGCAGGTGTTTGGAGAGTGGCGTCTCCACGGACCCCGAGCCATGCGGGTTCGCCCGCCCACGTCTGGCTGTGCGTGGCTTTCCCCTGTCCGAGGAAAAGGGCATCCTGGTGGTTGAGCCGAGCCCGGGGTAGGTTTGGACCCTTCGGGGCCCCCCGGGTGAGGCAATACACCACTTCGGCCCCTGCTTCTCGTAGACGGGAGTCCTGGTAAGGCCCGGCCAGGATGATTCAGTCTAGTCGCCTTTTCTTCTACTATCCCCTCCGATCTTTCACTTTTACCTGTCCTGTTTCCTTCTTTTCCTTCTCATTTCTCTTGCTCCTTTTTCTTCCCTCTTTGGCGGCAAGGGTTAACCTTGGGTGGCAATAGACCTCTTGTCTGGACCCACACTAGGTTATAGTGTCTTGGTAGCACTGATAGCGTAATGTCGTCAGCAAAACCCTTATTGCTATGGCGCATTACCTATCCCCATGTTGGGCTCCGTGGTGGGTGGTGCGCTACAGATGCCGAACGCCTTCCCATTTCTTATGGGTTCTAAACTAAACCAAAAACCTGATCAGGCCCTGGAAAGGGTCCGGACCGAAGTACACGTCAGAGAAGCATTTGCACCCGTGGAGAAGTTTCCCCGATTTCTCGTCATGCATTCCGAAACGGAAAAACCTTTATCCAAGTTATCCCCGTTCCTGGTCTCTAAGACTCTTGAATCTGTAATCGGAAAAAATTTTAAAGCAAAAAAAATGCCATCTGGAGATCTCCTCGTTGAAGTTGTAACCGCTCAACAAAGCTTAGACCTGCTGGCACTCAACGTGGTGTCTGACTACAGGGTTACTGTATCACCCCACCGCACTTTGAACACTATAAAAGGCGTAATATCAGAAGATGACCTGCTAGAATCCCCCGAAGATGAAATTGTCGATGGCCTTCGTGACCAAGGAGTCATTGCTGCCAAACGAATTTCTTTTCGACGGGACGGCCAAGAGGTGAAGACAAAGCATGTCATTCTGACTTTTGAGCTGAGGGCGCTTCCGGAATCAGTGAAAGTCGGATATCTGAACTGTAGAGTACGGCCATATGTGCCAAACCCTCAGCGTTGCTTTCATTGCCAGAGATATGGCCATAGCGCCCAGAGCTGCCGTGGGAAGACAACATGTGCCAAGTGTGGCAAAAATGATCACCCTGCAGAGAATTGCTCTAATGCACCTTGCTGTATCAACTGTGGTGAACCTCACCCTGCTTATTCCCGATCGTGCAAAAAATGGAAACAAGAAAAAGAAATTATAACACTCAAAGTAAAAGAGAGCATCTCATTCCCCGAAGCCAGGAAGCGATTCTCCTTCCTGCAGAAGGGTTCTTACTCTTTGGTGGCACGTGCAGGGGGTGTGCCATCAAAGTCTTCGGTAGGCATCCAGGTCTGTCCTAAGGACCTGGTGATTCCACCACCTCCCCCTGCCTCACAAAGATTCGCTCCACGACTCCGTTTGTCGTTGGAACCGAAGAAACCACAGGGGCCTCCAGATGGTGCAGAGGCAAGAGATGCCTCTGTGCCAATGGATGGGAGACAAGAGGAGAGGCGGCAACACCAGCCTCAGGGAGAAGGCACTAGTGCCTCTTCCATTCTAAAGGACGGGCCATCGAACGATGTGCCTGCCTTGGTCACTCGGACCCCTCCCAAGAAGAAGGAGGGTAGTTTTCGCTTTAAGGCTTTAGGAGAGGCCTCGACACGTAAGGAGGTGCCCGTACCAGCTGCTCCCTCAGCCGTTCCGCCTGAGGAGGAGCGGATGGAACTTGGTGAACCTCCTCCCCCTTGTTCGGTCCCACCTGATGACGCAAGGCTTATTAAAAAGTCATCCCAGAAAAAGCTCAATCCGCGAGTAACCCCACCCAAACTGCCCCAGGGCACTTAGGGCAGGTTTCCTTTTTTCTTGTGTTGTTACTTTAAACCGTTTTTGACATGAACTCATATAGTTTTATACAGTGGAACTGTAGAAGTTTTCTGCAAAATATTGATGACATTCATTTCTTTCTGGATGAGCTACAGCCCATTGCTGTGTGCTTGCAGGAGACATATCTTAACAACACCCATACAAATGTTTTTAATCGTCACCGCGTTTTTAGAAAGGATCGGGATTCAGACCACTCTTCAGGTGGTGTTGCCATTGTTGTACGGAGTGGCATAGCATGTGTGGAAGTTCCTTTGCGTACATCACTAGAAGCTGTTGCGGTACGTGTTCTTGCTGATCGTCTCATTACGGTTGTGTCCTTGTATTTGCCACCTCATCGTCAACTGCATCTTCATGAACTTCAAGGATTGGTTCAGCAACTCCCAACGCCTTTTTTAATTTGTGGTGATTTTAATGCTCACAGTCCCATGTGGGGCAGTAAGCGCCTTGACTCTCGTGGCGCTGTTGTGGAAAGATTTTTATTGTCCTCAGACGTATGTCTTTTAAATAAGAAAGAACCAACGTTTTATAGTTCCACTCATAATTGCTTCACATCCATCGACCTCTCCATTTCATCACCTTCATTACTTCCCTGCTTTTCTTGGAAGGTTTTAAAGAACCCTTTTGGGAGTGATCATTTCCCGGTTGTAATTGAAAGCCTCGTTCCTCTGCCGTCTATTTTAAAACGAACCCCTAGGTGGAAACTGGACAAAGCCGACTGGGCACTCTTTAAACTTGATGCAGTGCTTGACCCATCAGTTCTAGCAAATTTGTCACCTGAAGAAGCGACAGTGTATGTTACGGAGCAAATCATAAGTGCCGCCCAAGACGCCATTCCTCGCACCTCCGAAAATTTACCCAAGAGGTGTAGGCCTTGGTGGAATGAAGACTGTGCCACCGCAAGGAAAAAGCAGCATAGGGCATGGGACACCTTTCGGAGGTACCCTACTCCTTCAAATAAGATAGAATTTAAAAGACTAAAAGCAAAGGCCCGATGGACTATGAGAAAAGCTAAGTGGAAGTCCTGGACCAGGTATATTTCCTCCCTAAATAGTTTTGTCTCAGAGAAGGAAGTTTGGGATAGGTACAAAAAAATCAAAGGGGATTACCGTTGCTTTGTTGTTCCTCTATTTAGCTCTTCTGCTAACTCGCTGAAAGATGTTGCTAATGTGCTTGGACAGCACTTCGAGAATGTTTCCAGCTCCCGAAATTATCGGACGGAATTTAAACGTTTTAAAGCAAATGCAGAATGTCACCGTATACCCATGTCCGGTTGTAGCTCTGAGCCATGCAACACTCCTTTTACAATGCAAGAACTAGAGGTGGCTCTGGGCTCCAAGAAGAGGTCGGCTCCGGGCCCTGATGGAATCCACTATGAAATGCTCCGTCAACTGTCTCGAGAATCGCTCAACACACTACTAGATTTTTTTAACTATCTGTGGGAAGCAGGCTACTTTCCTCAAATGTGGAAACAGGCGCATGTAATTCCTTTGCTGAAAGCTGGGAAGGACCCTTCGGACCCCCGTAGTTATCGTCCAATCGCGTTAACGA